CTTCCAACAATATCTCCAAAAACAAATAGGCAAAGTTTCCTTTCACAGTTGTTCCACAGTTATAAGATCAGAACTGTTTATGTCTCCCCAACTGATTATCTTGTCTACAACAAGGACTGGTCAGATAAACTCAGTCACTCCACAGCCTGCTGCCCTATATGTGACCAACCTGGTCATGACCATTCAGATTGCTCTGCTCAGTCATGCATGTGTGCCAGTTGTATTGGCTCCCATAATGGAATTAATGGGAGCTGCCTTGCCTACAAGCTTAAATCTGAGTTAGCCTTTTCAGATTCAAATTAGGCCTCACTCTGTGTGAGGCCAGACAGGAAGTACACCAACAAGGTTTTTTTCTATTTTATTCCAAAACTGTCCTTCGCTCCGCTCCCCTCCCATCTTCTCAAGATGTCTCAGTATCTCCCCCCGTATACCCTGAACCATCCTACCTCTACTCCCTCTCTCCCCCAGTCAAATTCCTTTACTAGTCTAAATCAAAATACTTCAAATTCTACCACTTCCTTGATGCCTACCTCTCCTTTACTTTTTCTCACTTTACTTGTTGCACCAGGCAATCTAAATGTTCCACCCCATCTTCTCCTATCACAACCTCTCCTGCACCCACCTTTTCCTGTGCTCCTCAGACATCTATCCCCTCTTTTCCTCCTCTCAAGAAAACCTTTGTCTTACAGACCTCCTGACCCAACTCCCCTCCAATGTCTCTATTCCTATTCCCTCTACAGTCAAATTATTTGGCAATATCCATCCGCCTCCTCCTCAAGTTCAACTTACCCCTCTTCCTCCCATGCTCTCCCAATACACCCCAACTTCTCTCCTCTCCTTCATGTGCACCATTCCCTCTTCTTTCCCCATTATCTTACCACTCCCACCTGGATGCTCATGTGACTCCCTTATGTTGCAACAGTGTCCTTCTCTGGATCCTTACATTCTTCCTGATATTTCACCACCTTCCCTTGTTCCCTTATTTAATTCTGTGGATTCTTCTCCTGCTTCTCCAACTGCCAGTTCTACCCATATAACCCACTGATTGTTTCATAATGGCTCTTTTGCAGTTTTCCTCATACACTGTTACTCTCCCTTCCACATAGATACTCTCCATTTGCTCTCCTCACTTTACACTTTTCACTACCATACTATCTGATAGTGCTCTACAATCTTTGACATCAAACACATTTTATCCTAATTGTTAAATAATCTTTACCCTTTTTACCACAATATTTTACCAAAATATGCTATATAACCTTTAATGTCTAGCACATTTATTTGTTTTAACCATTAACCCTTTGCCGACGGGCATGCCATGCCATGCCCACTGTAAGTTTACTCATTTGATTGATTTTACACATAGATCGCAACACCTGTACTAAGCCTCCAATGAGCCAATTACGAGTACTGCCTGTCTCACCTGTTCACCTTTTTCTTTAATTTTCAAAAATATTTTACGTTATCTTATTTTGCTATTACTAATGTTTATAACATTATATTAATTATAATGTTTATAATAAAAATAACATCATCAATATTCATAGCATTAGTAAAACTTACATTTTCCCACCAATTTAAGGAAAGGTGAAATCCGATAAGGCAGAGCCATCTATATGAAGTGACATTCCACAAAAAAAAATATAAAAAATGAGCATAGCATTTTCCCCATTTTTTATTCATTTTCCCGGTCAGCAGTGGGTTAACTGTTAATCATTACACTGTGTTTTATTTGTTAGCCTTTAAGAAGTCATTCCATTGTCAGAAAAAAATGCATATAAAGACTTAGACTTCTCTCTCCTAGAATAACACACACTTCTTATATGGAACCATCTTCAAAGAAGCTTGCATCTGTGCTCAGAACAACAAATTCTGATACATTTCTCAAGCTAGATGACCCGTGTTACAAGCGTTACTCCATCTTACATGTACTGTTCTGTGGCATCTTCCATACTTGGATCTCTAAATTTATATCTCTGAATTACTAATAATTTTGTTTATTTTTTGTAGGAGCTGCAGATCTTCAAGGTGATTGTCTTGGGAGAGGAGGAATTAGGACAGAGTCAGTTCCAAGTCATGTGCTTCATTATGAGGTTCTTTAAGAATAATTTCATATCTTCAGATGCCATGTCTAAGTTAAGACAAGTAAGTATTTTTTTGTTTCTATTATAGCATACTCCATTTAGAAATACAAGTAGTCTTGGTCAAAAAAGCAAATTTTCTTATTTTATTATTATTATTTTTAAATGAAAGAAATAGATTTTGCTTTTATAGATCCTACAATTATTTTATAGGTTTATAACTACAGTTGACTACTAGAAAAATAGACTGACTATCAAGAATCATTGTAGGATATTTTTGATTTGTAGTATGCATATGATTACAAAGAAAGACCCAGTTCTCACTAATTAGAGGACTAGTTTTTTCACCAACAGAGAACTGGTTCCTTGTAAAAAGGTTTCCACATTCTCCCATTTTTATAGAAGTCTGCATAATGTAA